AAATGACCATGTTGGTAACATGTTGAGACCATGTTGTTACCAACAGGGTCTAAAACGCCCATGTTGGTATCATTATGATGTCAACATTGGTATATATCGACGTGATATCAACTTGGGGTAAAAGACCAATAGCAATATGGCAAGTCCTAATATGATATCACTGAAAAAAAAGTTCGGTGATGTGAACCGAAGTTCGGTAATAAGAACCGAATAGTTAGGAGCATATGGAACCACGAACTATTCGGTATACATTGGTGAACTAGTTCGGTACCCGAACTACCGAACCAGTTGTCCTTTCCTTTTCGTTCCCAACACGTTCCTTTTCCCAAACTCCTTGCGGAGCGAAGAAAATTGCGAGAAGAAAGTTCAAACTCACTTTTTGATGCTTACAAATTAATGAATTTTTAAGAGTGAATTTTTCACAGAATATATTTTTAGACTGGTTTTGGTTAAAGTCGTTAATATCGCAATTTTTTTTCTTCAAAAACTGCACCTATGTCCTCCATACACGCCACTCGTCTTTCAAGCCACAGGTTGCCCAATGAAGATTTTGGAAGGGTTTAAAATTTGATTAAATTTCATGCATGAATGAAAACTATTCTGAATGAACTGAGCACGAGTAAATCCTTGGTTTTTAAATTCAACGTTTAATGTTAGGGTTTTAATACCCCAAAGGGAAGCAAAACCCCTGGGAGTAATCTGCCGTGCTAAGGGAAAACGCCGTATGAACATTCGAGAGTTGCCCAATGTCTCCGGATAAAACATGTATTTTTGAAGAAAGTCAAGCTTATTATTCCTTGAAATTCTCCGATATTTTACATTAAATTGCGAACAAAATTGCCTAAAAAATTTAAAGAAAAATTGTAACAATTTTCCAAGTAGGTTCGTCTTACATCGAAGGAAATTTGGCAACGCCTGAGGGCTCATACGACGTTCTTCCTTAGCACGGCAGTAATAAGGGGTGGTGCAGGACTATCGAATCACCCTGTGATTAGAAAATGTCTCCGGTAACGATTTCAGTTTCAGTGAGGGAGGCACTCTCAACGCGCGAGCGCGACGCAGGTTGGTGACATCATTTCCTCTCAAATCGCTACCAGCTGCAGTGCTACACCGGCGGGGGGCAACTCTGGGTGGGGGGCGGTAGGGGGGGCGAACCCGGGGGGGACATCGACACACATTCTCGAGATGATTCGATTTTTATTAATATTATCTCATCGGCGCGGTGATGCTCGGGATGACCGACCGCGCGCGTCCGAACCGTTCGTTGCATAATACTCATTTGCCGTTTCGCAATCTGCCGACCGCGATCTCGCTCACTCCCGAAAACGACGGGTAACGCGGAGGTTCGAATTTCGTAGAGTCCTTTATACCCAGAGTAACGACAACTCGATTATCAGCTGACTGGCAGCCGACCTTGGCTGGCCATGGAGGCCGAAACTAGTGCACTCAAACGAACGATATTGGGGGATAAGGATCAGGAATCCTGCGATGTCTGTCACACAGAAACAACAACATCAACAAATTGATCAATTAAAAAGAAAATGAGATTGGTTTGTGAATAATTTCTTAATCTATTTTCNAGGTTTGAATTTCGGGAACCGTGGCGGATTCAGGGGCGGCTAAGGGAGGGGGGGAGGGCTGCTCGGCGATTTTGAGTGTGCGAGGGGGCTAGGAGGAGAGCGGAGGGACTGAGGGCAAGCCTCCTTGGATTCATAAAAAAAAAGCCCCTCCGAAATTGAATTTGAAATTTGAATTGATTAAAATTTCCATGTTCGAAATTATTGGATTTTACCATTTCCATGATTTTGTTTTTCTTTACTTAAGTGGCTTAGGGAGTACGCCCCCCCCCCCCCCCCCCCCCCNCCCCGACTGCTTAGCGGTCCATCCCCACAAAGCGCTTGGCGCCACACGCGTTATGCGTTACTTCTATGATTTTAAATTATGGAGTTGGATTTGTTTCTGGACTGGAAAGTATTAAAATAGGGGAAAAATAGCAAAAATATCAGGGCAGGAGCGTTCTAACTGAGCAATATTTTTTTAGATAGAAAAACCGACCCCTGTCCTTCTTCCTCCCTCTCCAAAAAAAGACAAGAGTAGATTTTTAAGTATATAATTTTGCTATTATTCTATTCTATTTTTACTTCAATTTACTTATTTTATTTATTTATTTTTGCCCAATATGAGTGCATGCCACTGCCCCTCCCCCGTACTTTACTCCATCAAAGCGTGATGGCGTAATCAAGGGTGGGGGAGAAGAGTTGGGTAGCCCTCAGCCCTCCATCTCCTCTAAATGTGAAACCTGGAGTTTTTACCCCCCCCCCCCAAAAAAATGTCATTTTCTGAGAGTTTTCAGCAATTTGTACCTTGAGCCTCATCCTAGATGGAATATCCAACCTCACACACCCTTTTCCATGGGACATTGGCTACACATTAAAGCTGTTCGGACAGATTCCACCAAAAAAGAACAGAAATCGTCACGAAGTTGATAAGACTGTGGATCTATTTCCCACAAAATTCTTAGCCCTAAAAAATTGAGTAAAAAGGTAGGGCAAGAAAATCTCAAGAGTGCACAAAGCAAAAAAGACTTTCAGCATCATTTTAATTTTGAATTTTCTCTTTAGTAGAAAAAAAAACTAAAAACTAATTAACTTTCAGGTCATCTAGCAGATTAAAAGACTTGGAACAATTTTGGCAAAGCTATGAAACCTTGATTTGACTGCTTGGTTTATTTTTGGAAAACTCAATTTAATTTTATATCAAAGAGTTTGAGAAAAGGAACAGGAGGGTAAAAAATTAAATATTTTATCCTACATAATCTTCCTGTATTTTCTCTAAATACCAGAAAAAGGTCTGTTGACGTTAACATCTTTCAGAGAAGTCAATGGGTCTGGAAAATGCTCTGCTGAAAGAGGATCACCTTACTTGAGTGCTATTAGAAATGAGGTTAGCAGTTTAATGCTTAATAGGTATCATATTCTCTGAGAATGTTCTTAACATGCAAAAAGACTGCTAAACAACAGAGACGATGTCAAGTGATACTCTCTTGTTATCTCTGTGTACACTGACAGTTGATTGTTCCAGCACTTAATGGATTATCTCATCCCTCATATTCAAGCAGGAGCATCCTCAGAAAAAAAATGATAGTGACAATAGCTTAATACAAAAACAAAAAAAGAGATGGACGAGAAACTACAGACATCATGGTGCAAAAATATAATGGATTGCAACACTTTCAATATTTCATAGAGAATATGTTTCCTAACTACACACGGAATGATGAGTGCTTAGACATACTTGCAAGTTTATGGTAACAAAGCCGAAACATTGCAGCATGGTTATCCTTTGAAAAATATAGTGACAAGAAATCTGCAACGTTACAGATTAAGATACAATTTCTTTACATTCACCATCGATATGTAAATTGCCTCAGAAACAAATGAGAGGGAATCAGTGATTGGACGTTGACAATTTGACTTCGCACGCCATAGCTGCACGAGAAGTCATTATTTGGATTATAAATGATTATTTTTCCTAGAAAATTTCTGAACCAAAGATTGAAGCTTTTCTCATTATATGCTTCATCACCACTCTTGCAGGTATCTCTGTCCGCCTTCAAAAGGGCAAGATTCAAAGAACATGATAGGTACAGCTTGTGAGGGCATAGGCTGACCATTATTGAACAAGTTATCTACACAGTGCAACTGGAGGAATTTCAGATTAATTAAGGATTGTTTTTCTCATTATTCCTCTGTAAAATCTAGCAAAACTTGCGGCAGATAGGTAATTGCATTGTTGAAAGTAGAGATAAGTTTTAACTTGCTGCTACTTTTTTCTTAGTGCGCTTGCCTCATGACACTATGCAAGTGCTTGATCAAGTGCCTACATGATACTATATTCTGTTGTTATGTATGCACATCTTGATCCATCCTCATATGTGGCTGGAGCGATGAACGACTTAATGACATCCAAGCTCTCAGGACTAGACTTGTTATCGCCCATCTCAGCGACAGCCTAAGGTGATATCATTGGATGACCCTCTTCTCTCAAATTTTGAGGGGACTTCTGCAACGCCCTAGTTATGCTCATGCTACCAAAATTCTCTTCATTTTTACCATATAAACTTCCGATGGCTCCTGAATTTCTGTCTGGGAGAGTAGGCAATATGACACTTTCTTGTTAAGGAAACGTAAATACTTAAGTGTTTGTAATAAGCTGATAAACCAGCTCAGAAACTATTTAGTATGCTAAGGATGCAAAAAACTAGCTTAGCTAATGCACTCCAATGATAAGGAAGATCAATCTAGAGAAATTCAACAGAGCCCCTCTCAGCCTAGGACTACATTGTTGGTTAGAATTCTTCATCTTCGACTCAATTGTCTTGTCTCAAGTACAGAGTGCACCAATTAGGATGACTGTACTCGACTGATCTAGCTCTAGCAGGTTAGGTGCAGATTTCAGAGAATTGAGACGAATGTGCAGTTGACCAATCAATAACAAGATCAGGAGACAGTGCGGCAAGAAAAGCTCATACCTACGTTTATGATCCAAGTTGAGACACAGTCTTACAGACTGCAAGTTTACATTAGCTACGATGACTGAAGCCTATTTAATATTGAACAAAAATTCTGTGACGGGTATACTGGAGAGGACGATACTGAGTCTTGCTTACTTAGAATTCATGGTACACATGCCTTGGTCTGTAGCACGTAGCAGACGACCATAACTAACCCAAAAGTGCGGCTCTTGTATTAAGAATGTACTAACGTACAATCTGAGAGTCAATGCTGTTTCGAAATATATCAGTATTCTAGAATCTACAATTCTTGGGGCTGAAAAAGAAATGGTCATGGCCAGCAACTACCTTAAGGGACCTAGTCCAAAACCAAGGATGAGTATTGAGCTAATTGATCCCGAACAGAAAAGAAAGGGGGTGGGGCCGATCGAAAATTTACGGACACCGGTAAATTTAGATGCTGAGGAATGTATTTCTATCGACTCACCCATGATTCTGGTCTCGATCACAGGAGAATATGAAGGCAGGGGCAGGGATTAGCTCCGGGAAACACCACAAGAACACTGTTATCACGAACAATTATTCACGGCTCACTGAAAATTTGCAAGAGCACTACTTCAGACATGATTCGAATAACCACTGATCATACTTTTAACGACCGGAAAAATCAGAAGCCGATACTAAGATCCATTAGAGCCTGATAGGGAGAGAAAATTGGCGAGGCGAGAGCGACTGAATTTTCACTAGTTCACGGACCACGGCACAGGCGGAGGGTCGCTTCACATCCCGAGAAAAATTTATTAAAGCAGTACACAGTTGCCAAACTGCGCACAAAATCTCTATTTGAGAATATGTGGTTTAGCGGCTGACGCGGTGAAGTTGAAGTCGAAAGGTCCCCAGTTCAATACTCGACATTAACACAAATTTTTTTTCTTCGTTATTTCTTCTAAAATTGTTTCTAGTTGATCAAATTTTGAAACAATACTCCTCATATCCTATTTAAACCTCCCCTTCCACCCCCACCCCCCTAAAACCCACCATCCGCGGTTGCGTGAAATGGGGGGGGGGAGGGGATACAAGGAATCCTTGTCAAATTTTAACGAAATTTTCAATATTTTCAGGATGGAAAAGTCCAAATTCTAACTAGGACCGCGGGGCGAGCTGACCATAAATTTTTGCTCAAAAATAAAATTACAGAAAGGCAAATTAAATTTGCCGGTAAACTTAGACCTCTCTGCACTCCTATAATACAGCATAATATGGAAATTACCTAGAGACATACATATGTGAGCACTTACCTACTTTGTATTTGAGCGCATTTACCTGAATTTTCAATGAGATTTGGGATTCAGATTCGAGAGCCTCATTCGACAATTAAGGAACCCCACAGCCAATAGCGCAGAACTATTAAATGCCTCAAAGAGGGAAATATGGGTAAAAAGAGGACACAGAATGTACATCCAGAATGTTTGAAAAATTCTGAATTTTAACTCTCAAATGAAAATCTTGAATATGCCAGCTGTTAGTGTTGCCTTCCAACGGGAAATGAACAGTCAGAGCATTAAAAAATTATCAGAGAGTTTCACAGCTTTTCAACACTCTAATATTAATTCGACATCCTCTTTTTCCCATAGATCGTGAAGGGATCGAGTGTTTACCCACTCTTTTTTCTTCTGTCACTTAATCTTTTTTCTCTTTTGGGGGGAAAAGGGTTAATATTCCCACTTTTGAGGAAGCAATTTCACAGATTTTCGGGGATTACTCTCTTGAGCAGTTTTGAACACTTAGAAGTTCAAACCCACTTCTTTAATATATTCTTGAGTATCGTGTCAGATAAACGATGCACTGAAAATTTGATAATTTCAGAAAACATAGGTGAAGACATGACTTATGTCCTTTAAAGATTTCAATTTTTATTGTTCTTTTATAAAAGCTGGTTGGAGCCAACAAATTGATGGATTTTTGTGTGACAAGTATTTTTCAACAGTTGACAATATCATGTCTAAGGATTTTATATTCAGATTCTCTAAACTTGAAAATTGTCTGTATAAGTTCTCATGATCCATTTTAAATAAAGTAAAAAATTTAAGAAACATGAGAGTTTCATTCAATACTGCTCAAGTTTAATAACCTTCTTAGACCTGTCATTTATCAGTTCAATTAAATATCTTTTAATTTATTTATTTTTTTTAAGGTAGAGAAATTTCTGCTTGCTTCCTCTTATAACTCATCAATAAGGATAAAATAACTAAAGAATGAAAAGGCTTGAAAATTTACATGATATTATACTATATGTAATATGATATGAAAAAAAAAAAATTGTAAATATACACAATAAATAACAAAAAATCATTCTTCACGTACAATCGAGAATATTTACAATAGGACGAGTGAAAAATTTATATACAATAGGTCAGCACATGAATATCATACTTAGGTACTGAACTGAAAAAAGACTTATCTCTGTAAAATGACAAATTTAAAATCTAAACATTATTATTAGATTCGGTAAAGGTAATTAAGAAACTTTTATTGCCTCGTCTGTAATTTTAAGCAATGATATTGAAGCGTTACTTGGTGTTTACAGAAAAAAAATTGTTATGATCAGTAAGAATAAAATATGTAATTGCAAAATAACAGACTGTTGCAGAATTGTCATCAGTTAAGCAAAGCCATCGAAGAGTTTAGAGAAATCCAAGAAATAGATCCTCTTGTTACAAGAAAGGTTCAAACTAAAACTTATGGGCTTCACTTTGAAAACAATCATCGGCATACAAGTTCAATCACACGTACTTTGATTTCCATACAAATGATTGATATCCTGTCTTGCAATTCGCAAAAAAAGATAAGATCAGACTAGATTCTTACTACATATTAATAAAGTATGTATAGTAAATCACAGAAAAATGCGAAAGAAAATTTTACCACGAGTCAACAAAAAAATTGATTCATCAGTCTTGATGAAACATAGGATAGAAAGAAGAAAGATAAATTGATTTCTAGAAAAATTTCTATAACGAGGAAAATTATAAATTTATAAATACCAAAGCTGTGATGAAAACAGGCTTTGGAGTCAAACTAGATAAACCATTATTTAACACATTCAATTTTGAGAACAATTAATTGCATTCTTGAATTAATTTAAAATTGACAGTTCAAAAGTACTTCTTAAAAAACTTGCTTTACACCAAACAAATTTCACTTGCTTTAAATTTTACAAACTTCCATTCCAAAGTTAACCTCAGATGATGAAAAACGCAAAAAATAAAATATTACTTCAGCTAATTAATCAAAATTAAAAAAAAAGAAGAAGTTAAGACTGCATGAGAAATGATTGGATGCCAAAAGATGTTTTTACCATTGCATTTCTAAGGAGATTATCTTACAAACCTCATATTACATGGTTCAATGAAATTTCTGCTAATCTGAACAGGATTTCGAGAATTTGGTACAACAAAAATTACAATAATCCGTCTACAAAATTTCATTCTCAGGAATTAATTGATGTTTTTAAAAGGATTCTGAAAAGAATACATTCTTAACGTAATACTTGTGTTAGCTACTGATCCCAAGCATCATGGCTGATGTAAGACCTCATTAATTTTCAAACCAAAGGGCCAACTACTGTTTCTACCATTCTTTTTGAAAGCAGCACCTTTTCTAGCAGTAAAAATAACTCGTCTTTCAACCACCAATAAAATTAATGGCTGGGCAAGAAATGTACAAAGTTTAAATTTACTAACTGTAATCCACAATCCCGGCGTTTGTTCCTAGATTCATGGAAGGTCATTTTGGGACCAACTTCCATTTTTCTCTCCTGAGTGCAGGAAGCTTAGGTACTGGAATGATCTACCGGTGGATCTGCAGGAATGTCCCGATTCGTTGCGTTTTAAGTTTTCAGCAAGGGGACAGGCTTTGAAAACTTATTAGTTATTATTTTTTGATGTGATAAAAATTTTGTAATGTTCAAAGTATCAATTTGTTGCCTTGTTGTATTGTTCAATTGTCTTGTTGTACCTTGAGATGTTACCCCTTCAACGTGTAATAAATAAATAAAATTGTATTTTCAACTGGGTCTTACATACCTGATAATATTAAGGGAAAATATTCACAATTATTTTTAGAAATAAGTATACTGTCAAAAGAAATGTTTCAACATTCAAATTTTTATGCAGAAATATATCGAAAATAGGGCACGGACTGAGATGCAGCATTTCCTATTTTCATTATTGATATGCCTTTTTCAATAATATTGGGAAGTTAAAGAGAGCCCACAACCTAAATTCATTTCACTTTTTTTATTACAAAGACTTTACCATCTAAGATGAGTTACATTGAAAGAATAATATGAATTGATCTGATACTTTGATTGGAGGGCTTGGGGTCTAATGAAAGTTACCTGCCTGGAGAGACAAAAACGACTGAGTAAAATGTTCTGAAGAACTGATTGCTTTTGAGATAAATTCCTATAAGTAGAAATGCTGGTGCATCTTCCAGTTATCTTACCTAGTTTTGTTACGGAAACTTAACATCTCAGAATACTAAATGCGAAGGTTGGAAGGATATTATTTTCATCATAAAATCCTGCCTAAGAAGGAATTGAAAATACCATATATTATAATTTTACTAACTGAACCTATGATGTAGTTTTTGATACAGTTAAAAATGTTTGGGAGGGGTATTGCAAACTCTAAAGCAATGGACCACCAAAGTTTTATAAGTGAGGTGAAGTTTCCATCCACTCGAAACCATGATTAGAGGTTCTAAAAGCCAACAATGGTGTGCAAAATTGTAGGTTTCTCGGTGAAGCATGCACACAAATGAGCTTGCTTAAGCTCTGTCTTGCTAAGAAAAGTACAACTGGACAACTTTGAACACACAATAGATATCTAAGAGCGCACTTTAAAGAAAAACATGTACATCCTTGAAGAGTAGATAGATGCCTTTTCTGAAAAGTTCATTCAGATGAACCCTGTTTGCTTTATGACACCCATTGTTGCAATAATAAATTTCAACTAAAAGCAGCATTTGAAATTACATACTTAAAATAAGTCCTGTACGTAAAACTCTGATGGAAATTCATTACAGATTAAAGACAAGGGTGGACATATATGACAAGAATAAAATCCAAAACAGCCTGTTGATGCTACTTCCTGACCTTTATGGGCAAGCGAGATACTGATGCAGAACTTGGGTCAGTAGCAGGACAGCAAAATGTGACTTAGAGAGGATGAGTATGTCCCTGTTGTGCACTGGTTAGACGATGAAATGTGCTTGATTAAGGATATGTTTGGTAACTTTGGATTGGATGAAACCCATACAACAGTAAGCGCTAGGGCACAGGAGAGTATGCATCAATAAACGGCTTCCTGTGGTACAATTGTCAAAGCGCTGGTCCTCTGGACAGGTCTTGGTTTCAATTCTCGGCTAGGCGATCAGAGTTAGATGGTCTCAGACAACAGTTTCTTGGGGCTGGGTGTTGAAAGGAGATTGAGGGGAGAATGGAGTACTAATTGTTAGGCACAAGATTACCTCATTAGAGGTATTCAAAGTAAAATCAAATTGGAGTTGCTGATTACCAAGTTCACTCATGACTTTAAGGAGGGCCTCTTCCCTCACTGAATTTTGAAAACTGTTGATTTTAGAAATGAATTGGCTTTAAACTGAACTGACTTTGAATCACCTTTAGATTCTACTCAGCAAGGGGCAGAAGGGGTTAAATCTTTTACTATCGTCTCTTTCGGCTTTATGAGCGCCTTCAATTACATTGCAATTAGAAAAGAAAATTTTCTGCATCCTATAAACTGGACCACGTCTCAATTTTCGGATCTTCCACACTAATTCTGCGATGCTGCCTTAGGACAAAAGCATGTTACATCTTTACAAAGACACTTGCAGCACTTCAAGCTCTCCAAGGCAAATAGCTGCTTGTTTTTTACCATTACTGTAATTTTGAGGAAACCAACTTTGCACAACTCTAATAGCCAGGCTGGTGATAAACAATTTTACCAGCTAGGCACCCTGAAACTAATAGACAGCTAGTTGGAGAAAATTTGGTTGAAACAACAATATCGGTGTGAGGATTGTTGGTTGCTAATTCATGTAAAGTGACTGGAGGATTTTCAGGAACACATGTTGAGAGTTCGGCACAATCAGAGTTGAAGCTCAACAACCGTACGCCGTAACTGAATGGAGAACAAACAATTCTACCATCGGAGGAGAAACACAGCTCTTTGATAAAACCTTTGCCCACATTGCATTCTTCAATGTAATGTAACAGCCGAGGTTTGTTTTGATGCGTTTTATGGTTCTTTGGAACTTTGTAACTACTAAAAGATGAGCCAAGACGCTCACTTAGATTTGCTGCTTGTGGTTGCGAACTTAATATAACAACAGTGTGACCGTTACTATTACCTATTTGACTATTCCTAATTCTAGTTACGGGTTCCGAGCTGCTTCTACTGCTACTTCCATTGTCCGCATTTTCACTGACATTTGATGTTGATGAAGATGTTGACGCTTCTTGATTGTCGGAATTTTGGTTGTACCTGCAGAAAACACAAACATAACTATGAAGTTAACGATAACATAAAAAATATAACCTGAGAAAAGCTGAATCCTTTCATTAACTTGTTTGCAACCATACAGTATTTACTATTACTGTACATGTTGCAAGTGGCAGATTCAGGGGCAATAGCCGAAAGAAACTTGTTACGTTAGCTCCCTTTCTTTTCTTGCTACACTTGGTCTCATTCAAAATAAACTAACTTACAAAAAACTTTTGGTTTTAAAGACATAAAATCCAAACAATTTTTCAACTTTATAAATATCCAGTTGTGAGCAGAATCTACTAAAATTTTTCAACTCTCATAATTGACACTTCAAAAAATTTTCCATTTAAAAGTAACTTCACTTTCATTACTGGTAAAAAAAAAATGAACTGAACTACATGGCAATATAATATTTACAGGGATAAAGAAGATTGTTCTCTGTTCAAAACTTCAATTTTGGTTCCTCAACCCAACTTGGCACAAATTGATACCCTGAAAAATTTGCTTCCAGAAACTAAAGACGAATTTTAATATCCGAATATGACACTTTGCAAGCCACATTCAAGGGTCAGTCATTCTCATCTGATCTCAATCTCATCTGAGATCAGCGAGTTCCGATGATTAAAAATATCAAATTGTCCTGTGATTGAACAATACAATTTTTTTTTCTTGCAAATTTTGTTGATTCGTCTATTCTTCCCTCTAATTGCTTCAAATACTCACTGGAAATTTGCATCACTTAGCTTTCACCAGTTCAAAAAACATATCTTGTTAAATTGAGTAAATTCACCATGAGGTTGCTTCTTCAATGAGTATCTGAATTGTGGAGTTCAACTAAATGTGTAACACATACTAAGATACTTTAAATTGGTAATTTGTGTAAAAATCAGATATTACCTGTAGCGGAAAATTATGTAAGAAGAGTTACTTCGCTCACTAGGGTTATTATTAGCACTATCATCATCATTGTCATTATCATTTTCATTATCATCTGAATTGCTATCATTATTTGACCTAGTTTCACTGTTATTAGTATCTCTTTGCATTAAGTTGTCCAGGAGTGAGTTGACATTCAAATCCTGTAGACCTGAGAATGTACGAACAATATTCATTCTAGACGAATCGAACTGTGAATTGGCAGCATTGCGCCTTTCTCGCTCTCGATGGAATCTGATTGCAATCAATGCTTCCCAAACATCCGCTGAACTGACTGTGGCCTCTGCATTCCTTCGCGGACTTTCTTGTTCTGCAACCAAATAAGTAATAATTTTATAAGACTCATAAATGAATACAGCTTGTTCTCTCTGTCTCGCTTCATTAAAAAATTATAGATTGTGTGTAGCAAAATCGGAGCTTTGTATAAAGTTTCATGGTTCTAGAACTGAAATCCTAAAAATTTCAGTATCAAGTATTTACACATGAAATTTAAAAGCAAAATAGAGATTCCAGTGATAAAGGTACACTTTTCTCTTATTTTAAGTGAGATTATGACTTATAAATTATTAGTATTATAGATAATTATAGTAGATAGTTTCCGGATGAGGAATCAGGTAAAATGGTTTGAAATTATCAATTTCAAATATATTTCAAAAATTTGTGATAGGACCTTGCACGGAATATCAAGAAATTTGTCACTCGCTAAATTTTAATATTGTTTGACATGATGTTCTTTACGGCTTCCTGAGTACGATAAACTTTTAAAATCGAACTTTCTAGGAACTGATCTCAGGAAAAGCAGGGCTGAAAAGTGAATTTTTCAGTGGTATCACACACAATATTCTAACCCGAGGAGAACTTTTGTTGATCGCAGACCGGGAAAATAAAACAGACAAAGATAATTTAATTCCTCTGAATGATGAAGACGTGCAGGGCAGCGTCCACTCACATATAACACCAGTCCCACATTTCTATCGGAAAACACAAGTAAAGAATCCAATAAATTAACTGTTTGGCCCTGTTTCTCATAACACTGGCACATGAAAAGTTTGACTTTGAAAACATATTGTGCTTAGAAGGTCATAAGGAACATCATAATAAAAAAAAATCGAAATTTAGCAAAAGCCAAATTCCTTGGTATTTCTTGTCTGGTCAGGAATAAAATTTACTAAATAGACGGCTAGACAAGGTTCAATTTAAAGCAATAAGCTTAATATCAGTAAGTTTGGCTCCACGAATAATTTTCTGCGTGAAATTGTGAAGAGAAAACATGTATTAAAAATCTTAAAATTGTACTTCGTCCATTAATGGAATTAAATACATTTTAACACCTCCATTCTGACAAAATAACTTACCAGTTGTTTGCGCTTGTCGACCTCTGCCACTAGAGTCTCTCACATTAGAGCCATCAATCACATTTTGGAAAAGAGCCTGAAGTGCACTGACTGAAGAGGGCACAGCTCTGTCACCGTCTTGTGATGGTTCGTTACCATTGGTCCTGTGAACACTCGCAAATATAAGTAAGCGGAATATGATAATCCTCCTTCAAAACCAAAAACGAGGAAAGACTAAAATACACCAGGATAAATTTTGACTGATTCCCAAGGACTTACTTCAGCGCACTCTAGCAGTCTGACACATAACTTCAAACTCATAGGCTGCTACAAAAGTTGTTCGGTTTCTGTTGGGCATCCCCTTGTAAATATCTCTCCTTTTTTTTAGAAACTGAGTAACCAATTCATTTGAATCTACTCAGAACGTTGTGGAAAAATCCATTCTGATTGTGAAAATTTGCATCAAAACAAGTTTCATGCCTGCAAGGTCCTGAAGTATTCTCAGAATCGACTCGAGTTTTAAAAGTAAATTCTACTTAGATACAAACATCCGGACAATCAATAACTCATCAGTGCCATGCAATGACAGCCTCACTTGCCTACTTTACATTAACCAAGGTTCTTCAACCGAACGAAATTAAAGTACAACTCACTCCACTTCTGATGGTTCAAAGTCTGTGCTGCAATCCTCAAGTTCCAGCGCCTCAGTATCAGACACTGGATCATCTTGGATATCATGAATACACGTCCACTCGGATTTTTCATGATTACTGATGTTCCTACTGAGAACACACCATCCTTGTGGGTGTACCTGTAATTACAACACTAGCAATTAAAGTAGATATAAAAAAAAGTGTTACAAAAGTACCTAAACTCAATGGACTTGCCATAGACAACTCACCAGCCAGAGCAGTACGGCAGTGCAATTATTGAAATTATGTCGGTATGACAAGATTAGACACAGCCAAATAAGCCAATACATTAAATCGCATTTTGAAGTGTGATATCAGGCTGCTTGAAACTTTCAATAAATGGGCTGAAGGTGCCCTATGGATACATCAAAACAGCAGACCGCACTTCTAGATTTTGGCAGATTCAACCAGGCACAGTTGCCAAGTAGAATGTATAAAAATTTGCGAACTCACGCAAGAATTTGATGATTTTCAATAACATTTTCTACCATGTAGTACAGTTAAAATAATTGGAGATTCATTAGTCTCTCAGTCTTGGCTACTGATTCAGATAGACATATTTACATTTGATGTATTATTGCATGGAGAAAGGCTAACAAAAGAGAAAACAAGATACTTTTGCCTATCATCGCAAATGTTCCTGTGGCATAATTTAACTTTTAGGGGAAAGAAAATAGGAACACAATGTTTTGTCAAATGAGGAGACAGCAAAAGTGATCCAGATTTTCTTGAAATTTAAAAATATCAAAATTTTATGGTTGTAATATTGCTCTCCTTGTCTTTTAATATGAGGTTACTTACTTGTAATGAAGACACAACTTCTGCATCATCATTTTCTGGAAAATCTGCTATAAATTCGACACGGTTTTTCTTGCGTCTTCGGGAAAATAGCTGAGTGAAGTTAGCAGCAACTGGTATGGTAGTTAGACTTAGTTGCATTAAACGGTACATATTAGGCTGTGGAAAGAATTAAAAGTATAAATACATTTTTTGAAGGATCCTTACTTAATTAAAATAAATTATGTTAGAGATTACTGTTGAATCAGCTACACTCATAGTGCATACGAAAATGAATGGTATGCAGATAGAAAGTCTACAGCAAAAATGTCCACAAGCAGAAAGTCTATTTTTTGGTCGATGTTCACAATGTCTAGAACTACTACGACAATGTCTACAAATAATAATGTCTTCTGAAAAAGCCCATACTCAGAGTTCACTTCTGAATGTAATAGGTGGAGTGAACTCATATCAGTTACTTCTTTAGTTAGTTGTATCTATGGAGAAGAATCATCATGTTTTCATCACAACAGTGATGACTGGTTCTGGACACCATTAATACATATGAGAACTAATTTGTAAAGGAGTCTTTTGTACTTTCAAATGAAGAAGAGGATATTGATTCTTACTTTGAAGCCTGATAAATCTTGTTCCAAAGTGTTCAGATCCAAATCATGGATGACAATCAGATATCCACCAGTTGTGCAAATGATCATTTTACTTCCATCAGGCGTTAAACGTGTTCTCATAAGTCCATTTGTATGAAACACTCGATTATATATGAACCCACATTCAGTGTAACTAGAACAAGAAAGGAGAAGCCATGCATAACAACTTAAATTTGAGGGAGCTAAATCAAAATAGTACCATCTCCAAGGGTATCTTAGCAGACATACTCTAGACTGTATGTTTAAGAATTTTCAATGCTTCAACGGCCTTCAACTGCTAAGATAAAAAAAAGAAGAGAAAAAAAAAAGAAAAGAAAAAAAAATCAGGAAAAACTATAAAAACAGTGGTTCAACTTTATCCCAAAATTTTTGGAGACATTTGACATAGGATAATAATTTTTAGGAGTCATAAAAAATGTGTGATACTAAAACATGTTTAGAGGCCTTGTTCGGCCAGCTTCACTATTTCACAGACATATTTCATCATGGTCCCCAGTGAGGTTAGGAAACTGACAGGGTCTTAGATGCCTATGACAGATACCAAACCGTTTGAAAACATTCAAACAGGAATTTTTTTATATATTGTGCATTTTTTGTTTTCACTTTGTATTTGCATCACCAGGATAAGAGATATTGACTTTTTGCACACTGTGAGCGTCATGGACAAAAATAATTGCTGAGAATTTCACAAGAAAAAAAAACTTTGCAATAGCATTATTTATGAAATGTCACCATCTACAGGTAAAGCTACATTAATTCACCTGGGCAAAATTTTCAGTGCAGCGATTCTGTCCAATTTGGTTGAAAAATTGGATTCAGGGACTCCGACAAAAAACTCTCTCTGGTGTCCTCAAGAATTGTAAATGGTTTGATTAATTTTTGTACCAATCAAGGGCAAAAATTTGCATCATAATCCGGCATTTAGTGCCCTATACGTATCAAAGCAGAATTTTCAGTAGCTTTCGGTAGAATTCCATTTTTGTACTGCAATTTTTGAACAACCATAACTTCCGTTTGGTTTGAAATTATTGGGTGTTTTCTTTTGTCTAAAAATGTTGGAGAAAAACTCCAGTATGCTCCAGTACCAAAAACTCAATTTTGAGTTTTTGAGGACTGTCACAAATGATGGTGAAGGAATAGTGAACCAACCTGTTAATATCCCATGTGTAAATGGCACCATCAAATCCAGAAGTGACTAAGAGACCATCTTTTTGAGAGAACTCTATATTTTTGACCCAGTTGGAATGACCTTGCAGAGTACGCAATCTGTTCCGAAGATTCCGTGTATCCCATAATGCTACTGTTTTATCATCACTACATGTGGCAAAAATTCTGGAGTCTAAAAATCTGCAATATAAAAGGAGTAAATTAGGAACTGTCTCATTTGTTTGGGTAAAATTTATGTTTATTGTTCTGGACCCACATATTTCTCGTTTAAAACTTATCTGAAAGTTGCAGACACGCTAGTATTGTGCCAAGCAAATTAGTAGTTCATGAGTCTAGCTTTAATCATGCCTGATCCAGCCTATACAAGCTTTTATGCAGGTATTATTAATTAATTGTGTACATTGGTTACTATATTGCCGGTTCTTTTCATAAGTTTTAGTATCAGCGAAAGGATCCCCAACTGCATGAATCCAAAAGAGAATTCAACTATCCTTCCGCCAGATCGTTAGGGTTGGGAGGTTTTTCAATAACTAGATACTGCCAAAAAGTTTATTATCCTTTGGGATAATGGTTTAAGAAAACGAATACATGAACATGAAAGGGGAAAAAAATTACCGAACACAGTTGACGCAATCATCATGAGCATTGGCACCAGAAATTATCATTTTCCTAGTAAGAGGATCAAACATAAGAAAACTCTTCTTCTCACATGCAGCAACTAGTAGAGAACTGAAAAATAAACGCATGCAATGATTGAGTATTATAAACAAGATCAAGATAAAAGAGCTTAATAAAACCAACAAGACACTAGAATCTAAAAATTTAGAACAGTTGCTTTTTCACAGGAACAGTTCCATGACCAGTTCTCATTTCTTTTCGTAAAGAGCAATGTGCAAAATACTGCGAGAAAAACATAATCCGATTCTTGGATTTTTCTCCTTGACGATCGGTCTTATCTGGAATTCCCATCTTATCATGTGTCACAGCCACAGGAGCAGAGCGGTGGAGCACTGAAATGGTTCAAGATAACAAGCATATGGTGCTGTCTATGTCAGCATGCTTTTGATAACCAATAACTTATGATGTCTGTCTCAAATCATGATTAGCAGAGACAACTCTTCTTCGTCCTAGTTCCCTTTTGCCCCCTCATTTTGACTGTAGCGATTGACTGTAAATCATTAAATGATCATTTATAATGACACATATTTCATAAGATCATGACTGCATAAGTAGACAATGGGCCTGTTATAAACTTTTGCTAGGGCAATAATAAGAGTTGTTTCTATCTGTAAATGTCTCAAAAATCACGATGAGCGCATTTGCAAAGTTTGAAATGCACTCTTAACTTTACAATGTGGGTAATAAATTTGCGTTTTTTTGAGCTTCCCGCTACAAAACCGATACTACAGCACAGGTGAGCATTTCATTAGAGGTGTCGTTCTATCCAACCCTTATGCACTAGGATACTATACAATATTCAACATGGCAGACACCAATCCGCCAAAACACAGGTGCCTGGACGAGATTCTAACCATTTTTTACAACCCAGCGTGTTTACATTCACAATTTCATGGTGTTGATAAAGATCCACTTTGGTTGACCTTTCGCTCCCGATGGCAATTTGCATGTGGAAGTGTTAGCTATTTTGGGTATTGCTGTTGCGAAAGGGTTGAAGGGAACGACTTCTCTAACGAAATGTTCACCTGTGCCATAGTGTCGTTTTTGAAGCTGGAAGCTCAAAAAACGCAAAATTCTTGCGCAGAGTGTGAAGTTAGGAGTGCATTTCAAACTTTTCCAATACCCTCATCATGATTTTTGAGAAATTTACTGATAAAGACAACTCTTATTTTTGCTCCAGCAAAAGTTTGCAACAGACCCATTGGACAATGAAGCTTCCAATCGTACATCAGCAGCGTAGCAAAGCATTTGATGCAAACAGAAATTGCACAAATTTTGAAAAAACCAGTGATGCGAGGCAACATCCTACCACTATAAATATAATCGAGTAAATTGCAAGAAATGTAATACAACTGTCACTGTCAAAAATGGCGGAGACCTGTAGAAAAAATCTAGTAAATCAAGCTTTAATTGGTGCTGACTAAACAGCTGTAGCTAACACGATAGATAAAACAGAGAACACAAACATGCGCTTACCCGTCTGGAGAGAATTCTAGATTGAAAATTGCCCCAGGCTGAGGAATGTCAGGATTTCCATCATGGCTCCAAGAATTCACTGGCATTAGTGAAGAGTACAGGCCTTTCATCAAACGATTTGTTGATCCCAATGCAGGTCTTTGTCCCCACTCCCTATTCCTGACCCACACATCGTGATATGGCAGGCGAGACTTCCAACCTCCGTTTCTCATGTTTTTAGCAGTTCCGATACGCAATTGTAAAATTTCAAAACATCAAAAATTAAGGCATCTGAAAAGAGAAAAAAAGGGGGATAAAATTATGTCGTTATGGACTGTGCACATTTGGTAAAATTTTAATACCTAAACAATGCTGGCTGTTCTGTTAGCCTGAGAAGACAGCTTGGAGGAGAACTATAAACACTGAAGAAAAATAAATGAACGGCTGGTTAGTGCTTATCCAATTATTTTACTCCGTATATTACTGTCTAAGAGATAAAATTTTAATTTTCAATATTTTAACAAAAGCTAGGACATAGGTGTGTGCCTCCCCGAATCTAAGATTTAAAATTAATTCATGCCATTGAAGGTTCAGGCCACAGCTGGACAATATGTGGTACCACGGATAATTAAGGAAACTCTACTGATTGAATTAAAATGATGGCGAGATAAAAAAGAGTACATCTTATTTTGCTTCTTCTGATGGACATTATGGAATTTGGTCACTGCTTCAGGTGAGTTTTTCGGCCCCTCCTATCCTCCTTCAAATCATTTTCAATTCTTCATGTGTGTAGGTGTTTCAGAGACACTTAGTGAAAATGAGTGTTCAGATTGGAAGACTTCTATGCCTCAGTGTTTCACTGCGATGTTCATCTATGACTAATGTTGGATTTCAGGGAGGAAGCTCAAGTAATAAGAGGAAAAATTGCAACATAAGCAACAAACAACCCTTGTGAAAGCCTAGTCCGTCAATAACATCCCACAGAAACATTAGGTTTGCAATGGTGAGCAGAACAAGAATGTACAGTAAACCTTCGGAGTGGAAGAGGATGTTCTCTTAATGTAGTTTGCTCCTCCATGGCACTTTGTTATTAAAGGTATTTGAGAATGCAAATCACAATACGGCATGTTCGTCTGACTTCAGACACTGACATTCGATACGGCAGCTACGCTCAGTGAAAAGAGAGTTGCACTCTGCAGTTAATTTCTACGACCAAAAACTTAGCTTGTATTAAAGTAAGGTTCAAGTTCAAGGTACAGACATGTGTATTAAAAAGAGCTTTTGAACATTATCAGAAAAGGAGAAAGTCACAGCAGGAACACGAAAACCTTTGGATTGAAAGTGACTTTTAGGGCAGGGGACATACTGAAATAGTAAACAGGAATTTGTTGCTAACGTACCATAAACAAGGCTTAGTTTGAGGAAAATTGATGAGTAAAAACTTGAAAGACTAAGACTAAAGCAGGAGAATAAACTTTTAAAGTGAGGTTACAAAAGGCAGTCAAGAGTCGTGCAGTGATAAGTGAATACCACTAAGCAGACGTGATCTGATCTTAGGAATAAACCTATTTTGAAGAATCTGAGACTGCAGAAAAAGAACTTACCATCAACAATGACACTTTATCGAAAATACAAAACACAATTGATTAAAGTGTGGTTGAAAAATGCGACGAAAATAGGAGAGTTGAGTCTCACAACACAACAGTGTCACGAAGCTAACCTATCACCTATATCATCAAGGGCGTTGTCAAGTTTAAAGTATAGGACCAAAATAACATCATGTACCTTGTGAGCTCAAAAAGTAACCTTTGTTGTATCACTGGAATTTGAAGGCATTTCATATCGTTCATGAATCGACGAGCAGGGCGCGGCTCGGCTGAAGGACCGTTCAAACAATCCACTTGCTGATCAATACGCATTAAAACGTGAGTAACTTTGTGAGTAACTTATCTGAGTAATTTTGAGTTTGTTGGCTGGTTTGCTTTGCTTTCCCCTTATCACTCTCTCATCTTCTTTGCAGCAGATAATATCAAGAATCGTCATTTTTTTCCGAAACCACGGCTGATCGCTGTCCGTAAGACGAAAAATCTGCCCCTTCGCTTGTCCAAAGTTATGGAATGAGTTCTATTTGAATCGCGATTTTGTGAACATTCAAAATTCTCGTGTGTCGATAAACGATCCTTAAGATCAAGGTCAGATGTGTGTCTCGTGTATCGCGACTCCCCTAACGCCGCAAAGCTCATTTAATTTTAGATTGGCGGCGCGGCGTTAAAACGTCATTCTTAGGAGCAAGTGGCACAATATTTGACACCATTCGCCTTACATCGAGCATACAAGGATGCAAAATCATTCAATTCCGTCTAGAATAGAATCGAAAGGACAGTACCTAAACACCCCGGAGCCGAGACAATTTTCTCTGAGGTAGGTATAGCAATAAATTTAAAGTGCATGCATGATAAGAACAACCATTAAAGGCATTAAAGGCGGAATAGATGAATGCTACAAATAATACTTGGACCCTCCCCCCCCCCTCTCCTCCTTCATGCAAAGGGCAGTTTTCAATTTTTAAGAATTTATCGAATTTATTTCAGTTTGCGACGCGACGTTCGAAATCTCCTGTCTTATTTCATTTTTGTGAAGGCCGCCTGATCATCTTCCATGCATAGAATTTCCTTTGATTTTGTTTTCCTTTCAAGAATATGCTTTGTAAATTTCGCACAAAAATGTTCGGCAAAATTCTTTTGGTAAAATACAAAATGAGCGGTAATTTTCAAGCACCACGATCAAGATCCGAGGTTTGGTAGACGGATTTTGTAATGTCATCATTGTTATGTTGATGATAATTTGTCTCTTATACAGTCACTTTGGTGGAGTTTCATTTTCTTCTCAGGTATGGCTTTAATTTGTTTTATTGTTATATTTCCAGGATATTTTGAGGAGATAAGTGCTTTTACTTGTTCCAGTATAATTAAAAGGGGAAAAAACGGGGGAAAAACAGTAAACATGCTTGTAGAATTTGAAACGCTTCACTGCAATAGGGATGCGCAGTTTTTTTTATTAACCACTGTCATTATGTTTATTTATTTTTATACATTTATTAAATTATTTTCAATTTTCATTTTTTTTCGTTTCTGCTAAACGAGTTCAAATTCTTTATTTGACTCTCCTAGTGATCGGCGCCTATAACCATCGCGCTTCCTCCAGCTCAAATTGAGACAGTTTCGATAGCGAGAACTTATTTTTGAAGGAAAGAGGCTCTTAATGACTCGGAAGCAGAAGTAGATTAATATCACTCATTCATCCTCAGGTGTTAGTCGTATCTTATCCGTGTTCATGAAGCTATTTCACGTATTATCTAACCATCGCACGTGAGAGAGTGAGGCGCCATTTCACGTTGACAAATGAGCGCAACAACAGATTTTTCCCTCTCGCCTCGGTTGGATTACGTGAGTAGGCGAAGCGGCGGTGTTTGGTAAATAATATTTACTCCGGAGGGGGGTGTTACATAATGCAGCTAAGCTACTTTGTAGTGAAAGGGGTCGAAGTCTACGTTAAGATGAATTTCAAGAAAGAGGTGGACTGGCCCGTGTAAAATCGGGAAGTTCCAAATGAGCCAATACGCTATGTCGATCGGAGGTGACGTAGCATCAAGTATTATATCCAGTGGTGAATGGAGACTTTGCAAGTGTCCATTTGATGAATTTCGCGTTTTTGTGGAAACCACCGAGTGAACTGGACACAAGGATATCCTTGGTTCATAAATTGAACAATTATAGGAGGAGATGTGACAAAATTATCTGATAGACTAAAATACATGTGTTTAAATGGGAAGTGCCGCCAGATGACGCCACTAGGCTGTGCATTTTTTCACTTTTAAATATATTTTTGTACTAATTCCTGTACCAGAGCAAAATTGAAAAGAAAATACTGCGAGATCAGCTCTTTAAGCACTCTCAGATGAAGCAATGAAAAATTTGCGTGCAAATTCTCCATTCGTGATTCTGGGAAGTTGGTAGCACAGGATTTTGTCCATCTAAAAGTATGTGAAACAATCGTTCTCAGGTGCACCAATTAACGATATTCGTAAGATTTAGATAGAGAGAAAAATGGTGTTCAAAACCTTCGAGAATCGTCACTGTCACGAACAAGATTTAGGCCTCCATGGTCCATGGTATCTAGCTACAAGTCATTAGGGGACAATAATTACGTCCGTAGGCAACATTTTTTTCTTTTTAAAAAATGTATGAGTGTAGCTTGGAACTTAAACGACCCGCCGCAAAATGAAACTAGCCTTTCAGGCATGAAATTCTCGGCTATTATGACAAGTTTTGATGTTAATTTCTTTACAACAAGGGTGCTGTTTGCAATAGATTTTTTTAGAAAATCAATGAAACCACCTCAAAAACCTCTACGTTTTGTTTTAACATCAATATGAGCTTTTAATGTTTCCCTGGTAAAAATTGGCAGTAGAATCTGTGTTCCAAAATACCATAGACCTACAGCCGGCTGTAAGATTTCTAATAACTTCTATAGCCGGTTACACAATTTCTTATAGCGTTTTATAGCCGATGGCGATTAATCAACAGCCAGGCGATAAAGTGTATGCTAAGCGTTACTAATTACGGATGCTAGGCCTTAGTGAGTTTTTGGAATACTGCTCTCTTTTTGGGCCGTAGTATCTTGATTTATTTTGCCAGGAAAGCTCCGTACTTTTGATGGATGCCTGCCATTACTAATATATTAGAGCGCCTTCAGTTTCGTATGATACTGTGCAATACCTCTGGTGTGAAATAGTTGCTTCAAGCGCCGTGGCAGGCGGGCAGCCAGCGCAAAACACGCATTGGCGCCTACGAACCTAACAGGGATACTTCACGCGTTGCGCAATGCGTGAAGTATCCCTGTTAGGTTTGTAGGCGCCAGTGCGTCGCCGCTCCGCTTTGTGATCGGCTCTAATACTTAATCTGGCGGAGTCAGCGTAATTCAACTCATGATTTTGAAATATTTGCACATCCTGTATGGATTATTCTCATTTTAATTGATGAAAAAAAACATTATTAAAGGAAAATATAATGTGTGTTTTGTAAATATTAAGGTGGTTCCGTATCAAACTTAATGATTTCCAAAGCACACGAATTTCTACACAATTTCTTATAGCCTTTTATAATCGATGGCGAGAAAGCAACAGCCAGGCGATAAAGTGTAAAGCCCGGCGATAGGAACTATAGCCCGGCTGCATAATTTTTTATCGCTTCGTATAGCCCGGCCGTATGATTTTCTCCGCATTCTACAGCCAGCTATATGATTTTCTGTAGCCCTCTTTAGCCGGCTATAAGAATTCCTATGGTATTTTGAAACGCAGCTCTTATCGCCAATTTTTACCTGGGTTGTACATTTTGTATAACGTTTCTCATTGACTTGCTCCTTCAAGCGCCGCTGGGGGATGCGGTCAGTGTCTGAGGTCAAAACGCCATCACTTTCGTACGTATGCAACTCGGACATCCATGAAGCTCGAATGGTTGCATTCAGGCGTTTCAATGAAATTTGTTCATCCGTCGCATAAGACTATTTGAAACTTTGACTGTTTCTCCTTTCTATCGCTCCTTACCTTTTTTTCAGCATTGCCGATTGTGCCAATAAAGTAAACTAATACTGATTTACATCGCAAAAATGTCAATTTTCCGAGAAATGCATTATTTTAATGGAATACTGCGTTATTGGTCTTCAGTATCTGAGCATGAGATGTAAAGCTTCCTTTAACTTTCTTCAAATTGGCGCACAGTTACGTTTAGAGTCCAGACTCTTGAAAACATTGACAAGAAAAAGGACTCTTGATTCAACCAGATAAGCTTAAATCAAAAGGAAATCCGCTCAAATTAAGAGTCTTGGTTCTTGATTTAAGCTTAAATGGACAACGTTAAACAGAAAGGAACCAAGCCACATCAGATATTGCCAAATTTAATTGGACGAATTATGTTTTTACATGAAAACGGTTGGGCGGATTTTCGTGCAAATTTCAGTGAATTTTCTCCATGGTACGACGCAAATTCCTTAAAATTTCCAAAGGAATCCGCACAAACGTTCTCTCGTAAAAAATTGACTTGCCCGGTTAAACTTGGCAATAGCTGATGTGGCTTGGTTCCTTTCTGTTAAACGCGGTCCAAATCTGATCGAATCAAGAGTATTTTTTCTTGTCGATGTTTTTAAGAATCTGGACTCTAGATCCAATGTGTTTTTCCCCCCAGTGAATTCCATGTAAAATATCGGAATATTTCAAGGAAAAATATGTAGAACTTACATCCGAAATTCATGTTTTATCTGACAACTCTCGAATGTTCACAGGGCGTTTTTCCTTAGCACGGCAGTATTGGCCAAGCAACGACCGCGTAACTCCAATGTGAAGTCAATGAAGAATGCGCGGTTTTTACAAACGGTAAGTGCGGCACTCACGCCCGAGTGCTTGAAGCTGCCGAGCCCGAGCCGAGTCAATCGACCTACTACGTTCCGTGGTATCCGGATCCGGTAACCCAAGATTGCGCACCAATCCGAGGCCGCGTGCCTGCAAAAAACCAGCCGAGTCTCTCCTACTCCTCAAGCCTCCATGCCTCTCCATTCACGAAGCTCCCGAGCTCCCGAGCTTCGTTACCCCCTTTCAATTTCCAAAGGGCCCCCCGCAAATTACTATTCTCCCCGCTCCTCGCGCAGCTTTAGAGCTTTCACACCTCTTGAGAAGTAATTGGAGGATAATACTCCCGTCCACAGCATAAACGCCGTAACTCCGCTCGATTGTTTCCCCATTTTTCCGGCACGTACTGCTCTATTAAAGAAAATTCAATTGCCTCAAAGCTTCATTTTTACTTTCTCGCTACCCTAAGGTAGAGGGAATATTGTCATTCCGCGAGGGGGAGAAAAAGTTGAAATTTCATCATTTCGAGACGTTTTAAGGTCCCAGGAGTCAAAATAACCATACTTGGAAAAATGTGTGTCCGTCCGTTAGGCGTCCCACAAATCTGTCTACAGCGATATCTCAGAATCTATCTGTTCGAATTTATTCAAAATTTGCAGAGAGGACCATATCTATAGTCTCTTTATGCACGTCAAACGAATTTGGGGGTACGCTAAAATTTGGGGGGGGGCTGTTTGGGGCCATGGGCCATTCTTAGCAAAATTACAAGGGAAGCTCATTTTGAAGGACTGTAAATTTTGAAAAATGACTTTAATTCTTAAAAAGTGGGCATCAAGTACATCCCGGGTCATTAATTTAAGTTTTTTTCATTTTTAACTCCTGATGGTGTGGCGGAGTTGTATTGAAAAAATGAAGGATGAATATTTGTTGGGTTTTCTGTGAAACAGAAAATGTCATAAGAAAATTGAAAAATCGTTGAGTAGAGATCGGCGTTTTTACTTTGGACGGCAGAATATAGGGGACGTGTTGGAAAGTATGATCGCAATCTGAAAGGAAGGGTATCGATAAGGGTCGTAGTTCGGCGCACCCTGAATTTATACGATTTTTTGCTAATCGGGGGTCTAGACTTTACGGAAGATAGCGTGGTTGGGTCATTTTTGATATGATCTTTTCGATTGTTTCAGGTGCTGGCCTAATTACAGGTTTGAAGGGCGATTTTGGAGAAAAGAGTGAATTTTTCGCCATTCCACCGTGAACCTGCGTTTTCCGCAAAATCGGCCTTCGGACCCTTGTTTAGGCCAGTATTACGAGCCCTGAAAAGAGACCGGAAATGACCAAATTGTGACGCAAAAATAGACCTTTAATTAGCAAAAAATCGCAGAATTGAGGAAATTCAGGGTGAGCCGAAGAACGGCCCTAATCGATGTCTACAAAATTTCACCCAAATTAAATTTTGTGAAGTTTTATCAATTTTTTTATAATGCTTCAGGAGGCCATGCAACGCCCAGGAACATAATCTGAAGGGGGGAGGGGGGTTGACTCAAACCTCCCTGTCGAATTCTCGGTCATTTTTTGTGGGTCGCATACTCATTGTCAGCCCTTAAAATTGCTGAGGAGCATTCTCGGTAAAACGCCTTGTGAGACGTTACGGTTTGGAGCGTTACGGTTTGTCGAGGACGTGGGAGGGAAGTGGATGGCTGCGCTAGGATGCTCCACTGCTCCAGTCGTTGGATGCTGAGCGCCGAGCTGCTCCGGCTGGCTGGCTCCTCTCGAATTCCTCAAATTCTCATACTGTATCTTGTATGTGAGGTGTCCGGAGACCAGTACCCGACAGCAGGTCGCGCTGCAAGCCCCCCGTTCCGTTCGTGTCCAATGCGTCCAATCACAGTCTCACTCAACTCCCAGGCTCCCCCTACATTGGGGAACCCCCCCCCCCCCCCCCCNCTGCATACCATATGGGAAGGGAACACATTTTATACTGGGAAAACTCGGCCCCAGATAAATCGTCCGAAACACAGTTAAAAAGAAGACTCTGGGCGTGGTCGAACTGGCATATGATATAGCATCGATGAGGATTGAAGATCTTGACTTAGGAAAAAAAATCGTTTGACGTGCATAAGGAGACCATAGATGAATCAGTAAGTTCGAAAACACACACCAACTCGGAAAAAAAAAAATTGTTCAGGAAACACCTAAAACTGCGCAGCGGGCGAAGAAGTTAGTTTAAGAAAAACCTTTTTGGTGCCAAAGGACAAGTACTTAGAGACTTTGTAAAGCACCAAGTTGAAATCGATACACCATGTTTGATGACAGAGAATTAAGCGTTTAAAAATTTCCGAGTTGGTTTGTTTTCGTTCTCACCGACTTTCAGATACTGATTTTTCATAGTCTGCCCAGAAAAATTTATATTTTTCGACCTGAATAACGCTTGAATATTTATATAACCTGTTGGTACAAGGTATACTGAACCGAAAAAAGAAAACCGCAAGATCGGATGGTCACCCGTTACCCTTGAAATGGCCAAAAATTGGTATTTTCAATGAAATACTTCGTTTTTTCCCTTTTCTCGTCGCTGTTTCGAGCACTTCCGATTGCTATTTCGAAATTTCCTTTTGCGTGCAGATGCTTCTATCCATAAGTGTTACTAAACCGTAAAAAAGTGAAAATCGAAAAAAACCCGAGTTGGTGTGTTTTCGAATTCACTGATTCATCTGATTATCTGAAACATAGCAAACGGAGATCCAAAGTTTTGTATTTTCAGTATTGTGTACCCCCAAATCTGGTGTACAGCGATACTTCAGAATCTATCTGTTCGATTTCTTTAAAAATTTTGAACGGGGGTACACGATACTAAAAATACAAAACTTTGGATCTCCGTTTGCTATGTTTCAGATAATCAGATCTCCTAGAGTACTCTAAATTATTTAATGCCCGTGATAACTCATTTAATGTGATTTTGCTTTCCTTTGAGGATATTATTTTAAATAGTACAAAAATGTCGAGTAATGCTTTCTAAAAAAAAAAGAAAAAAAAGAAAGAAAAAAAATTGATACTCCGCAATCGAGCCATCATTTTCCATCTTTACAATTTCTCAGCGATCGCAAGCATCGGAACTTTGTTTCTTTCATGATCGGCAATTTTCATGCCTTTTCTTGCATATTCAACGTTAATTTTCCCTTGATCTACTTAAGGTCAAATTTTTATTTGACTCGCTTAAAAATCCGAGGAAATTTTAAATTTTAATTTTTTTTTAGGAAACAAAAAAATCTCAATTGAGGGGCTTGCAGGACACGCCGCATAAGTGTAGGCTTTGAAAAAATTTAGATATTAATTATTTTAAGTAAAACTATAGTCAAAATGCATATTGTGCAAATGCGAGTGCAATTTTTAAGCACCAAAAAGTCAGTTTGAACTTTCTCTCCGTCTTAAGGATCCATGTGATTGCGAAACTTCAAACGTGTCTTTCTCGAAACAGCAAAAACTGCACTTATGCGCCTTGTCCTTCAAGCCCCTCAATTATCTTTCACCGTGGAGTCTGAATTTTTGAGGAAACTTAAAAAAGGGAAAAATCCTATGAAGTACAGGAATTTCATGCGAAAGCGGAAGCGTCTCGCTCGATTTTTTGTTCCTTGGCATTTTATAGTTCATTATTTTGATCGCCGGAAAGGTTTCGGGATGATTTCATGTTAGCAAGAATGGTCAGGCGTCGACGGAGTCAGGCTGTGTAACTTTTTTTTAAGTAAAAAAGCATGGAGAAAATTCACTAAAATTTGCGCGAAAATCCGCACAACCGTTTTTACTTAAAAAATTAAATTGCCCAATTAAATTTGGCAATAGCTGATGTGGCTTGGTTCTTTTCTGTTTAACAGGGTCCAAATACGATCTGTTCGCGATTGTTGATCAAAAAAGAGGCGCGCCGCTCTATTTTGAGTTGCAACTCTCATCAATCGCATCAAGCCCCGACTTTGAGCCACCTATCGTTGAAATCGATTCACTTTGAGCTTCCACTTTGAGCTTCCACTTTGACGGCAATTTGACGAGTGGAGACAGCGCTATTTGGCTACTTGCATACAGAGACGGAGCAAAGCGTGCGAGTTTGAATGAGACATTACGTCAGGCAGTAAAAGCTCAAAGCTCAAACACGATAACGCGACGTTAGTGACGTGCACAGCTCGTCGCGTCGCGCGGCGGAGAGGAAACCGCGGCGTGCGACTCGACCTGCTCCCCTTTCCTGCCGCCCTGGTCTCTTCACCACGTTTGCCGCCCTCTATCCCTCATATGACACAATCCACAACGACCGGCATCTACTTCGTGCTCCTCTTCGCCTGATCCTCCGCCTCACTTCATTATATACACTTGTTTTTTGTGAGCCACTCGCATACCGTACGCGAATCACTCGCGCGTCAAAGCTCCTCACAGCCGAAGCTCGCGATCCACTTTTCAGCCGTGTGAGAAATGAGAATCCGTTCGCAGCCCGCCGCTAAATAATTTAAGCTCGCCGCTGAAAGAGGAGCGTGGATCCACGGCGGGAGCTTTGCTTCGGGTCCGGAGCTTTTTCGAGGGGTAAAAGGAAAAGCTCCGGTTGCCGGGGACTGGATGTCGAGCTTTGGAGTGTCTCGGCGCGGAGAGTCGGACGGAAAGCGTGAGGAAAGCTGTCAGTCTCCATCACAACGCCGCTTGTAACGTCAGTTCCTCATTGTTTCGATCAGGATAGCAGAGATTGGGAGAAAGTCGGAGAGTTTCGGTAATTTACTCGTTGCCCGCCCGAACTTACGAGCGCTTGCAGTCGGAGCGCCGAGCTTTGCGCGAGGCCTCGCGAGGTTTGAGAAGGAGATTTTGAAATCACTATTTGAGTACATGAAAACATGAGGCATTTAGTGATGGTCCAAGTGTAGAATCATGTTCCTCAAAATTTCCACTCCTATTTTATTGTTGCGAAGAGAAGCGAGCCAGCTATATACCTTGAAATGCATACCGAATATTCCGCTGAGAGAACAGATAAATCAAGGAAGTTTTTAAAATAATATGTTGGCTAGTTCTATTTTTCCGACGAAAAAATAGAGTATGTTAGGAAATCTGCAACTCCACAAACGGAGATACTTGGTTTCGCACTTTGGCCATCTAAAAGAAAAATCTAAATGTCACTTCCTGCAGTGGCGTGGCGTGAATGATAGATTATCGATATTTCTCCATTTGAAGCTATGATGAAGAATCGATTATTAAGGTGTTCGCAGCGAACACCCTGTTTATCGATCCTTTTCTATAGGTTTAAAGGACAGATCTATCGATATATCGCAAGGCACGCCACGCCACTGTACTTCCTGAAAAATCTGAGATAGTAGCACCCATAATAGTACTTTTTAAGCAAATTTTCGATTTTGGGTATCTAGCAGAGATTTTATCCCCCCCCCCCTTTTTCAATATTTCCCAGAAATCGACTAAAACTGGTACGACAAAACGTAAGGACCCTCGGTAAAATATTATGTCAGGGCCATTAAAGCATGAAACATGGCTAGGATCTGCAAAAGGGCAAACATCTGTTTTTCCTTCTCGAAAATCCGCGTGAAAATATCGATTTAACTTTTGAAATTTTTACTTATAGTTCCACTGGTCCATTGCTGGAATTTAAAATTTATCTCAAAAATATTTATCGTGGCGGAAAAGTTAGATGCAATTTTTTGGCGGTATTTTGAAACTTGGAACAAGTGGCTTGGTTCCTTTTTGATCCCTCTTACGCTTCACATCGATGGCCAAAAAGCGAGACCACTTATCTCTGATTGCGACGTTGCAGACTTCCTGTCATTCTTTATTTTCTCATTGGAAAAACAATCATAACATATTTCCTTGAAAACTTCCGTAGTTTTCTTCTCTCTTAGCAGAATATTTTGTATAAATTTCAAGCGATAAATGCTGCCGTGTTTCTCTTCGAAAAAGAAAAATAGAAGCGGAGATTTTGAAACGCCGCAATGGAGATACGTGGTTTCGCACTGTGTCCATCAACTTATGCGATGTATAGCGAGGCAATGGGGCATCGAGTAAAGTACCTAAGCTCTCCGACTTCTTCCAACCCCCCTCCCCCTAATAAAATAATAGAAACGACAGTGCGGACAATTGGAGTTATAAATAAGAATAAATTGATAGAGCCAGGGCAATATTCATATGGGCGTTCCACCTTTTTCAAAATGTCTTAAAGTACATCTTGAAAGTCTAACTCATGCCGACTTCAAATGGAGGTCACCGATGCAGCGTTAAGTGGTGCCATGAAAAGTCAACACGCAATTTTCAGCGATCGATGAGATCGGGGCTAATCGGCCATCATTTCACCTCCGTTCATAAAATGGCGACCTGTGTTTTTAAAGTTACTCGCAATATTGTAAAAAGTAGTAAATTACAAAGTCGTAGCACTCATTGTAAAAAGTTGTAATTTTTTACAAATTCGTAATATTCTTTGTTTACAGAGAAGAATAGCCGCAAATCTGCAAATACGTTTCGAAGGGCCAACATTCAACAGCGACACCGATGACCCATTTTCAGGACTCCACGTTTTAGCGTGTGAAGTCTGCTTGACTTCAAAAATGCGTTCGGCGCGCCTGGATGACGGAGCAATCGAAGGAAGGGGAACCGCGAGGAAAAATTTGCGAAAATGCGAGCGAGATTGCCAATGGCGAAACGGAGAGACATCTCGGCCATGCACCCAGTCAGTGTTACGGCGAGGAGGAGACGGCAAAAGGAGCAGCCGCGGGTCGCGGGGGGCATGGAACATGCTGTTCATATTTCGTGCCCGAGGATCGAGGAAAGCGAACGTGCACAGAAGCACGAAGCGAGGCTTGCGACGATTGTTGCCGTCTTTAGAATCATTCGCGCGGTATGAGGATAGCAAAGAGGCACTGGAGGTCGCGCATCGCTCTGTACAGTCGCGCGATTTCCCGCAAGACCCGACCTCTCGCGACCTGCTACGCTCCCGTGGCATCCGGATAGCGTCAGATCTTTTCGAGGTACACTGCGAGGACATCTGACCCGGTCCGGACGAAGCCGGCGGAGCCGCGCCGAGCCGAGGTGGGAGACGTCACCTGACGAGAGCCGGAACGCATCCCGGTCTCCGAGCCTCACTCTCCGGACGGGAGCGCTGATTCTTATCGCTCTTATCAGTTGCAGCACAGCACCCTCTCGCTCTTGGCTTGGCGCCACGCTCAGACGTGCTGACAGCTGGAGTGGGTTGTCGAGAGGAGACTTCTTTTCCTACTTCCGGGGTTGACCATTCATGCACAGGAATCATGTTGCTAAGATTGATCCTCAACAAGGGTTTTTGAGAGAGCATGGTGGCGCCCCCTAGGAGCAGTCAATGACGACTCGGAAAAATATCTTATGAAGGTGTGTGTGTTGGTGTGTGTATAGGACTTGAGTACAATAGCCGCGCATTCAAGTAACACTAGATCCAGGTCCCTGGAAGTTTTACTCACAAAGTTCTTGCTTTTTTTGCATTTATCACTTTATTTAAAAGGATGATTTTGTCCCTCTGCCGCTACCCTCACCCCCCCCCCCCCCCNTCCCACCTCTCCGACTGAGGAGCTGTCCGAGAAACATGCCGCAAGAATTCAGATGAGGGGGGTTGCTGTCTTCGAACCATTCATGTATCATAGACCGTTATGTCGATCGGAAAAAGTTCGAGAATCAAATGCTCTTTGATGGAGAAAGGACCGCGAAGAATGAAAATGACTATCAAATGACTTCAAATTGCTTCCGAAACGAAACCAGGAAAATTTGTAGTTACCTACAATACCTACTACCAATTACGAGGAAAGAAGTCAAAACTTGCCGTTTCTGATATTTATAGCCGCCATCCAAAAATGAAGACTTCCGTGTTTATGACTGCAAGTCCGGAGGCCCCATCCAAAGCAGCCGTGTAGGAGGAGAGTCCAAGAAGTCCACCCTCCCCCTGTGACCCGTAGTGCCTTTCTAAAAATCTCCTTATCGGCGAATTTAGGAAATCCTTGACCGTTGACCTCTGTCTACCTTTGGTAAATTTTTAAACTTTCGTTTCCGCCCTGAAAATAATTTTCGGGCCCTACGTCCCAAAGAACCCTTAAAATTCAAGTTTTAGCTTTAAAAATTGATTAAAAGTCTTTCAGCATTTTTTCACCCACCCTTAGAAAATTCAAGGAGGCCAGGTGTAGCACACTAGCACACCCAGTTTTTTCATGTTCTCCGTGAAAAATTGTGACGATACATAAGTGTGTGGCAGCACACTACTGTCAGTCAGTCTCATTGAAAAATGAGTAGTCCTATGCTTCAACCATCAGTAATCTATGGGTCTAGGTTCCAGGTCATCCATGCTCTCAGCCTATTTCCCTTATTAACACTCTTCAACTCTCAGGTTCCAAGAGGCATGTGTCATATCCATCGCTGGTGTGGCAGGCAGCTTACTTACATCGCACAGCACCTGGTGCATAATCTCAAAAGCAGAAATTTTTAAGTGGTACCTTCAGTCGCAAAAAGTTCAAAGCAGCAGTCCTTAAAATAATTTAACGATCTAGATATGGATTTGCATGAGATTAATGGTTGCGGCTGCACCAGTGCGACGCTGTGATTTTGTTCCCTGCCAGGCGAGAGTTGCAAATGGCGGAGCGAGCGACGAACACGTTTGGCAGTGGAGGAGCACCAAAGGCACCGAGAGAGAGAGTGTGGTGTCCTCACAAGGAACCTCCGAACGTTCGTTGTGGAGCAGGGAAGCAGAGATCGCAAGCAGGTCATTTCGCGAATGATCGTAGTTAGTGCCAGTGGAGTCTCGCGGGGTCCCAAGGAGCCTCCGAACGTTCGTTGCGGAGCAGGGTAGCAGAAATCATAAACAGATCGTTTCGTAAATGATGGTAGTTCGCCGGTGGAGTCTCGCCTCCCGCGCGAGCGTGAGATGGAAAATTTCATGAAAAATAAGAATTTGAAATTTTAAAGATGAAATTTCACGTGAAAGTTTGCGCGCAATTGCCATAACTTGAAAAGTCAGGCTATTTTTCATGAAACTTCAGATACTTTCTGAAATATCATTTGAAATTTCAAGTAAAAAATTAAGTGAAATTTCAAGTAAAAAATTAAGTGAAATTTCAAGTAAAGAATTAAGTGAAATTTCAAATAAAAAATTAAGTGAAATTTCAAGTAAAAAATTAAGTGAAATTTCAAGGGCATCTCAGCAGTTGCGAGGTCCTAGCTATATCAAGGCATTTAAAAAATGCAGCGCTTTAATTCGGGATTTTTTAACCCCCTTCCCCTTCCTTCTCGTAACGCTGCGGCAATGTATCACCCCTTCGCCCTCATTACGTTGTGGTAACGTAGGTCCCTATCCTTAAACACGCGAGAACAAAATGGCGTAACACTCTTCTCGATCCCCCTCCTGTCACCTCTCCTGGAGCGAAAAATCACGCCAGACACGTCGCGTATTTTAAGAAATGCCCCTCTCATTTTTCATCCATTAATCCATAAATGAATGTCTTGCTTCGCAAACTGCCATATTTAGTTGAAAACAAAATTCCGTTGTATTACGGACAAGTCTTTTGAAGCCATACGCATCTTTTATTTGTTCCTTTTAGATTTTTTCTCTCTTTTTTCCATTTTACTTTAAAAACATAGGCACCAGTTTATCTTTCACTCGAAAATTGCACAAATCCAAGGTTTGATAACGTTCATATTGCACTATTAACGGACCGAGAAGTTCCGTATTTATTTTGCTACGGATCTCTTTTGGTAACTGAACAAGGGACGTCAAAAACTTTTCCCATCCACGGATAATTTTTGCTGAATTGTTTTTTTCTTGTTCCTCGGATTTTTTTTAACATTTTTCTCTCTCTATGGAATTGCGCCATCTTCGAAATGTGCTATTTGTATTTTTGTGGGACGGATACCAAATAAGTCTACGCGCTATTTTAACTGTAGTATTTATTTTGATGAAAATGAGGCGATTTCTTGTACCAATGAAATTTAGAGATCTACTGGGCCGATTCTCTTGAAATTTTTTTTTGAGTGTAAAGATGCACAAATTCGATCAAATTCAAGCCTTTGACATTTCTCGATGTTTTTTAAAGAAAGAAGGAGATGAAGAAAAAAACAAAAACAAGAAAGGTTTCATTCACGTAAGGGCCCTGCAGTCCGGTTCTCTCTTTTACTCCCGTCCACAGATTAGTCCAGATCGCTAACATCGGCGGAGGAGCGTGAGTAGTTTTGTGAGCGCCATTGGCGGGAAAATCCATGGGCATTTAAAACTAGGAACCAANAAAATTTCTCTCGATCCGGTCAAGTTCTTTCACTACAGGTAGTGCCATCAATTTTCTAAAGTTGCCTAACCTGTAAGCAAAATTACTCACGCTTCTGAAGCATTGGCTAGATTGGATGTTAGCGATCTGGACTAATCTGTGCTCCCGTCGAAGCCATACAAATTTCCCGGGTCGCCTTCCTTGAGGCCTGATGATATTCACTAGCGGCCTCAATAAATGGTTCACATTTTCGACCAACCCTGCATTTTCCAAGGAGGGGACCTTCAAGCTCGGCTGCACGAAATTTTAGTGAATATGTTTATGAGGGTTGTTGGAAAACCCAAATAATTATCGAAATTAAGAAAAAATTGAGAGGAAACATTACTTGATTTTTGTCAACGCCTTACCCAGGATTTTATCCGAGAACTTGAGGCCGACCTCCTTTGAATACTTCATCATTGACGGTTTTTTATGAACTCATTATCAGCCCATTGGGGCTCCGCTTCGATGATCCTGCAGCAATCAGTATCGTAGAACAGATTTTCTGGAAGCTTCGAGTCTGGCCGCACCGGGCTCTGATTAAACTTAGGTTGAGTTAAATTTCTGACTGGGTTTTTTTCTAACTCTTCAATGGGAAAAAAATACAAATATGTTAAGATGCGCGCTCAAATTTTTCCTGAGGTGACCATGAAACATCTTAGCCGCATTTGCCTCTCTTAGATTAGAGAAGGTAGGGACCTCAGCCCACAAGAGCGGCAACGTTATGTATTTTACTTAACAATCAAAGCATTATTCGGAAAATTGACAATGTCGCGATAAGTATCAATAAGAGTTTACTTCGTCGGCATAATAGGCAACGCTGGAATTAAGTTACGAGAAACAAGCAAAGCTTCCTTAGTAAATATGTGTCGAATGCGACGAACACACATATTAAACATGGATGCAACTATTCGAGCTCCACGGATGTCCGTGTTGCATACGCACAAAGTGAAGGCGCTTTGACTGTCCAAGCACTTGCCGCTTCACCCGCGGCGACGCGACGCGGCGCGGCGCTAATGGCGGAATTCACTGCGAGGATTCAAAATGGCAGAGCGTTTTTAATTCTTCGTTTATACAACAATGATTTCTCCCAGGCACGAACAAGTCCATACAGGAGAAGGACGTGGGTACTTTTTGTGCCCCAGTAGTACCTATTGATATCGCAATGCGCTGAACATGATTCAGCAACTATTTATGCCTAGATGTCTGTGAGGTATGAATGAAAAATTCTAAGCGTTCTGTAATATCAGATCCTCGAAGTAAAACCCGCCGCACAATGAAACGAGCCTCTCAGACAGGTAGGACATGAAATTTTCGACAAAAAATACAAATTTGTATGTTAATTTCTTCCCACTGTAAATGGTATAGGGTGTTCCTTGAGTGGAATTTTACGAGAAAATAAATTAAACCAGTTCTAAAACCTTTCCTTTTGTATTAACATCGATATGAGCTTTTAATACTTCCAAAAGTCCGACTTCGACTCGCAATGACTCGCTCTAGCGAGCGCCGCTGGTGGAGCAGCTAGTCAAACGCCAGATGTTAAAACGCCTTCACTCTCATGCGTATGCAACACGGACATCCGTGGAGCCCGAATAGTTGCATGCAACTCGCATCACGGCGTTGTAAAGAAATTCGTCAAGTATCCGTCGCGTACAACACAAACTGAAGCTTTGATTGTTTCTCTTGCATCTGAACTTATATCCAGCGTTGTCAATTGGTCTAATAATGTACACATTTATTGATTTTTATTTCGACATTGTCAATTTTCCGAGAAAACCATTATCTAAAGGCCCGTTGCCGGCCCTCTAAATCGCAAGATAATTGCGTAGGTATCTTAGCATGAGGTGTAGACTCTACACCTCGGAGTTTCCTTCAACCTACTTTAATGAGTCGTCCTTTGCTTGGATTTTTTGGTTTTGGCCCTCAGGGGAAACTAATTTTGACCATTCGTCTATCGACAAAATGTAATGCTACAGGAAATCTGTGACATTGCAAGCCTAACTACACGTATCTGATTTCCTGGGTGCAGTGGCGAAATTAGCATAATAAAGTCTGGTAAATATATTGGTGAAAATTATATTTTGTTCGGTTTGTTTCCTCTCCAAATTTGTGCCGCGTCTAATATATAATTCAAATGACAAATTGATGAAAGCTGATCTTTTGTCTATCGTACTCAAAACTTAATTGGTATCGATCTGTTAGACTTCCGTTACTTTGAACTTGACTTCATCATGAGATTTTTTTACTTTTAAAGTTTT